CATGTCTTTATAGTAGAATGATTCATAATCCTTTAGGTATATATCCAGTAACGGGATTGCTGGGTCAAATGATATTTCTAGTTCTAGATCCTTGAGGAATCACCACAGTATCTTCCACAATGGCTAAACTAATTTACACTCCCACCAACAGTGTAAAAGCATTCTTATTTCTCCACATCCTCTCTAGCATCTGTTGTCTCCTGACTTTTTAATGATCACCATTCTAACTGACGTGAAATGTATCTCACTGTGGTTTGATTTGCATTTCTCTAATGACCAGTGATGATGGGCATTTTTTCATGTTTGTTGGCTGCATAAATGTCTCCTTTTGAAAAGTCTTCCGTATGTAAATAGTTCATATCCTTTGCCCACTTTTTGATGGGGTTGTTTTTCCTTGTAAATTTGTTTAAGTTTCTTGTAGATTCTGGATAGTAGCCCTTTGTCAGATGGATAGATTGCAAAAATTTTCTCCCATTCTTTAGGTTGCCTGTTCACTCTGATGGTAGTTTCTTTTGCTGTGCAGAAGCTCTTTAATTAGATTTCATTTGTCAATTTTGGCTTTTTCTTAGCAGTTGCCTTTGGTGCTTTAGTCACTATGAAGTCTTTGCCCATACCTATGTCCTGAATGATAGTGCCTAGGTTTTCTTCTAGGGTTTTTATGGTTTTAGGTCTTATGTTTAAATCTTTAATCCATCTTGAGTTAATTTTTGTATAATGTGTAAGGAAGGGGTCCAGTTTCAGTTTTCTGCTTATCACTAGCCAATCGTCCCAATACCATTTATTAAACAGGGAATCCTTTCCACATTGCTTGTTTTTGTCAGGTTTGTCAAAGATCAGATGGTTGTAGATGTATGGTGTTATTTCTGAGGCCTCTGTTCTGTTCCATTCATCTGTATATCTGTTTTGCTACCTGTATCATGCTGTTTTGGTTACTGTAGCCTTATAGTATAGTTTGAACTCAGGTAGCGTGATGCCTCCAGCTTTGTTCTTTTTGCTTGGAATTGTCTTGGCTATACCGGCTCTTTTTTGGTTTCAGATGATATTTAAAGTAGTTTTTTCTAATTCTGTGAAGAAAGTCAATGGTAGCTTGATGGCAATAGCATTGCATCTGTAAATTACTTTTGTCAGTATGGCCATTTTCACGATATTGATTCTTTCTATCCCTGAGCATGGAATGTTTTTCCATTTGTTTGTGTCCTCTCTTATTTTCATTTCAAAGGATGAATAGTAAAATTAGGTGCAGCCATGACACCTGGAAGGAAAGATTAAATATTGTTTCTATTCATTTACATTTAAAGGGCTAAAATGGTCACTTTGCCTTTTTACTGAGAGTGACTAAATTTCTTCTGAGGAGTTTTCTCAACTTTGATATTGAGTTTCTTCATTCTAGGGTTATACATCTTAGGTTTCTTTAGCAATAATCAAGTATAATCAAATTGTTCTCAAAATGCTTATTTTTTTCTTTTTAGACTCAAATATTTTGTGGCCATGTTGTGTTGTTATATTATCTAGCTTATATAGTGCTTAGAATAGGAAAACAGAGAAGTTGATATAAAACATAAAAAATCTGCCTAAAATAAAGTTGAATAAAGGTTTAGATCTGACTGTTTATGTTACTGACAAATAGCAATTTTTGTTAAGGTCTCTTATACCTCCAGTTAAGCTTTAAATACAGGTACATGTACGTACACAAATATGTGTACTACAAATAAGTAATATGTATTTGATCCTAAAGTAAATATTTCTTAACTCTACTTGACTTTGAATGATATATCATACACAGAATTTATTATTGGTTTTTAAATAAGAACCTCTTCAAATTAAATTATAAAACATTAAAAAATAGTTACAAGTTCATTATTATCTGTATGAAACATTCTTTTTTGGTTTTCTTTTATCATTTGTTTAGGTCAGATGTGACCCTAATGTTCCACAAAGAGACAGAGATTGATAATCAGGAAAGAATAGCCCTTTAATGTGATTTATATCTATAGATTTTATGTCAGATATGAAAAGTTGCTGTTCAAATTGTAAAGAAGGATCCATTAAAGAACACTTTAAACCATTTTACCATTTAGCTTACCTTGAGCCCTTGTTTTTAGAATTACGCCTTTTTGGGCATACTTCAATAGCTTATCAAATGTTTACAAAATATGATTTGATGTTAAATTATAATAATAAGAGATCAAAATGATAGGATATTTAATAATGTATTTTCGGGTACTCTTCATAGTGTTTAATATGAAGGTATGTGGTATGTCATAGCATTTTAGAAACCAATGATTTTCCAAATTTCACCAGTAGATTTGAATTTCCTCTTAGGTAAAGTTAGACAAGGGCAGATATGGACATAGTAGAGAATGCTGAACATTTACAGTTCTGTAAATGTCTTTCATTTTGCACTATTTGTTTTAGTGTATGGTTGGGCTAGATATGAAATAAGCTATAGAATGCTTCTCAGTTCTTCAGTGAGTATATAAAAATATGGTATATCAGTTAACGTTTTCGTTACAATGAAGTAATTTCCTAGTTATCTTCACGTAAACTACTGCTCTTTCATATATTTCTTAATCTTTTTTTTTATTTGCTCAAATTATGTTTTTGACAGACAACTCTTCTGTGGTTTGCTTGGGTTAATCTTTTTAAAAAATATAGTATATGAAATTTGCTTTTAATTTCTCATCAATTAATCTAGTTCTCAGAAGGATTTATTTTCTCCACATTATTGGTTAGACTAAATAAATTGTTTGCCCTTACCAGTGTACATCTCTCAGAATTTGTACTCAGGTGCTCTCAAGTACCCTCACAGAAGTTGCCTAGAATCTTCTGATTGGCAGATTGACACAATCTTAGATCTAATATAATCTCCTAATATTGCAGATGAGGAGATTTAGACCTAAAGAGGCAAATGAGTGAATTGATCAAGACTGACAGGATATATTATCAAGGGTGATAATGTAATCTGGTTTTTGTTTTGCTTCCCATTCTTGTAGTCATTCATATAGGTTATGATTCTTCTGACTTTTTTCTATACTCATTCTTTATTTTGGAATTTCTTCAGTCTGTTACTCTTTCTACCTGTATTTTGTACTAGGGTCAAACTCTCTTGCTTTGTCCCTCCCTGAAATTGATTCATGTTTTTCTGACTTGCCTTTGCTTTAAAGGTTTCTTTTATTTACCCCCAAGAATAAATCCTAGAATTCCTGCCTCATTAAATTCAGCTTTTCATCTCCCTAGCATAGTGTTTTGCACAGACTAAGATATTTGATTCTTTATGCATGTACATATACACCATATCTTTTGGGTTGCTTTTGGTGTAAGGAACAGAAAATCAATTTTTTGGAGTTTTGTGTTGGTTTACAATGAGCAGGTGTTTATTGGCTCTTATAAAAGTCTTTAAATAGTGTCATAGGAAGTCTGAAGGTAGGCTAATCTTTAGAATTTGATTGATCTGGAAGTTCATTATTTCACCTGGAATAAGCTCTATTTTTCTACAGTTTTCATAGTTCTGCTCTCATTTTGGCTGTATCATCAGGCCAGCTTCCCTCATGGTACAGAGAGCTTCCATCACTCCTAGAGTTGTGTGCTGCTGCTTTTATACTCTGAGAGGAAGGAGGAAACTAACTATCCAACAAAAACTTGAACTTTGCCCTAACTATACCAGTTTCATCAAGTGCCTTTCCCTAATCCAGTTTGTCAGTGTGTGTGTGATTATTACCCTGATTAGTTTAGGACAATCAGGACTCCTGTTTGTTGCTAGGGTGGTGGTGGGAGTAGTGTGTGGCAGCAATCTAACAAAACTAGTATACTGTAGGAAAGGCAGGCATGCATCCACATTGTATCTTCTGTATGTAAACTAGTGATATTTGTTCCAACAACAGGTGTATGTTACTTATCTATCAGAGGGTGTGTGTGTGTGTGTGTGTGTGTGTGTGTGTGTGTATGTATGTATGTATTTGTGAACTTAGATTTTGAAGTTAAGGGGAGGACTCTAGTAGACACTGTGAATAGAACAAAGGACCACATTTACATCCATCTTTGTTTACTTATTTTAAACAGAGCCTTAAGTACACCATCACAAACATTACACCACAAGTATCTGAATTCCAAAATAAAGAGAAATAAGCATTTTGGAAACTAGCAATTATAGTGTATCTGATTACTGAGAAGTAATTCTAAGGTTTTTTTTAATATACATCTCATGGAAATTAAAATTTAATGTATGTAAATCTCGTGGGTATTAAAATTCAAACACAAATTGAATAAATTTGGGGTGGGACCTGAGACTCTGCCTTTTAAATAAGATCCCAGTGAATCCCAGTGCTCTTGGTACATTTTGCTAGGACTGAAAAGACAAAACTGTTTCATGTTCTAAAGGTGTTTAGAACTGGCTCAGTTTACTGTTGTGAGCTGCTATTGTCTCTTTTCTGGCCCTCTGCAGTAGCCTCATTACTGTCTGCCCACTTCACTTTTCTTGTCTTACTACAATGTATTCTCTAAATAGCAGCTGGATGATCATTTTAATATGTAAATTGATCTCTTCACTTCACCAGATTTACCACTGGGATCCCATCACCTTTGAATACAATCTAAACTCCTTACCCTAATACAAATGATGTAGCCCTGGCCTGCATTTTGAAAATAATTTCTTAAGATTATTCTCCTTATTCACTGTATCTCAAGTCCTTTGCAACTTCACTTCATGCTGTTTGTCATACTGGGCTCCTGGTTCTTACAAGACTGTCTTCTCTTCTTGTTGTTCAGGTCTCTACTTCAATGTTTACCACTTCTGAGTATATCTCCTGACTGACTTCAGAGAAGTAAATTATTGTAGGATGTTGTACTGAGATAGCAGATCACTAAATCTCAGTCAGTTAGGTTAATAAGAAATATGAAAGTAGGTTTAAACTTTTGGCTGTTTTGACTTAGGGTAAAGATTATTTCATAATGCATTTTAAAGTTTTTTTCATATTTTTATAATAATTTTTTTTCTATCCAAGTCACTGTGTGCCCAGTATTCTGCAGACAAACGAGAAGATGAGAAGATGTGTGATCATTTGATAAGAGCAGCAAAATATCGTGACCATGTGACAGCAACTCAACTAATCCAGAAAATTATCAACATTCTCACAGACAAGCATGGAGCCTGGGGAAATTCTGCAATGAGGTAAAAGGATACCTTTAGGATTTGGCCACTTATTTTCTGTAGATGGCCTAGGTTTAGATAAATGGCTTTGGATATGATCAAAGCCAGATGAAGAAGAGAGTCATTTAATTTTGTATTTCATCATCTCTATGAATTTAAAGTAAAAGGGAAGGAGAAAATCAGTATTCGTACAATTATGGATCTTTGTAGATATTTCAGTTTCCTCAACTACTTCCAAAATAATATTTGCTTTATCTATTTATTCCCTTTGAAATGAATTATTAAGGGAAGCAGTTAAACTGTCTTAAACTATCTTACTAGCTACACTTATAGCCAAATTTATACATGTATAACATTTTGTTTTAAAAATCTATGCTCTCTTTTATTGTTTTTTGAAAATAACCATATTTTCAAAATATAATTTTGAAAATATAATAAAATGTTTTTTTTTCTTATGTTGCAAATTGCAGGACTGTGATGATAAACTTGGTAAAATGACTCCTTTAAAATTTTAGTCAGTAAATCTACCTTCTTTCAAAATAGCCAAACAGGACATGCTGTTGTTGATTCTACTTTCTAGAAACAAAATAATTAAATTGCTTTTCAAGACTAAGGAACTTGGACAAATTATAAAATTTATCCTCCATGGAATATTTTATGCTACAAATTTCAGAAGCATGTGTTGACTCTTTTAAGTAATGTTAATGACAAAAAATTTTATTTGCCCATTAGAAAACATTATATTTTAATTTCTCATTTTTGTGTAACTTTTTCTAGAAGACAACAAAAACAAATATAGTCAATTACTTGTATATTATGTAGGAATGTAATTTGCTTTCATTTGAGTTTTAATCAACTTTTGTGTCTATCAGACATCAAAATCCAGTTTTAGGAATTGTCCAGGATAAAGAAAACAATTTTAACTTTTAGAAATGTAAACTTCAATAATTATTCACTAATATAGAGTAAATATGTTATGTGATGTTTATTACAAAGAATATTTACATATAATGAATTATATTTCTGGGTACCTAATTTTTCATATTCAGAGGAAGAAAGGCAAGTCAGTGTCTTGAGGGCAAAAGGAAAGAAAACAGGAACCATGTTTGTTTGTTTGTTTTAATCTTATTTCAGTTAATCTGCAAGTGCAAGAGTGGTCATGGAAATAACATGCATTCATGGGGTCAGTGATCTCTGGTGCTTTATCTTGCAACATCTAAAAGCCCATGGAGGGGACAATGGTGGAGTGTTGTATTGAGGGTTTTAGAGCTTCATAGTGCCTTATTATTACAGATTTGGTGTCATTTTGACATCAGATACTGAATAAATCAGGATATTACTCTGATGCATAGCGCTTCACTTGTAGTGGGAACTCAGTATGTATTTACTGAATCTTTTTAAAAAGTTACTTTTTTCACCTAAGAGGTTTTGCCGTTTTAAAATAAAAACCTTTAGATAACTTATGCCAACCGTTTCATGCGTCAGTTTGATGGGATCAGAATCCTTTCTGTTGATAGCTATACCTTTGTATAGCAAAGTATACATGTGGTATCAAAATGGAAAACATGGTTTTCCTAAAGTGATTTTGGTGTAATAAAATATCTTGGAGAGCTAAATGGACCATGAAATGTATTTATCTGAAAATAATTAGTGTTTCAGTAATAGAGTTGTTCTAAGGCATCAACTCTGTTATTCATTAAGCCAGAAACAATTGAAATAAATTTTGAAATTTTAATATTTCTGGAAATCCACTGAACAAAATATTTTTTACTTTTTCCTCTCAAATGAAAATACCTATCAAATTATTAGCTTCCTAATGTGTACATTTTAAATTCATAACAACAAGAAAGGATGTACCATCACAAAGAAAATTGATAGGATTAAATTAATATTCTCCTCTCTATAAATCGCATCTTACATTTTATTTAAAAACAGTATGTAATAAAGCACATTGCCTGTATGTTGATATTTCTTTTTTTATTATATTTAGTTCTATATCATATTCAACTGTTATTTAGAACACCTAGTTTCTTCCTAATGCATTTTATAAAATTATCTTTAAATAGTCCTTTCCAATATTAATTCCCAATAATGTGAATGTGTAGCTCTTAATGCTCCCTTTAAGGTCTATGTAAGAAAATATAGCTGACAAAAATGTATGCTGTCTCACCATTCTTTGACAGTGGTTAACTATTCTCTGATTTCCCTTGTATGAGGCTTGCATAATCAGCTTGTAAATTATGGACATGGTTGTAATAAATGGGGATAACACAGTGTACTTTGTTCTTCACTTAGCATAATTCTAGAAAACATAAATGGCATTAGAGAGAAATCAGAGTCATACTGTAGCTGTAATGCATTTAACTATCCTAAGCCTGTTAAAAGAAATATGCACAATGAGCAAAATTCTAGTGAACAGGATTAAATTAAGTGTAATTTCTTTGTGTTTTATCTAAAGAATTATAGCAGCATTTTGTTTTTTAATTCAATCATATTAGAATTTTTAAAAATTTCATTTGTG